AAATATTCCATTGCTAGACAACGACTCAGTATACACGTTTCAGCGAACACGCAACAATAGGAACTGTGTTCTCTGTGAACCATGCTACAACTAGTTGCTGGGTAGCACAACAATTCTGGCAAAAGAAGGGGTGTTTTCCATGTGGTATGCGCCATGTCCAGTGCTAAGCAACGGAGCTGTAAACAAGCATTCCTAACAGAATGTGTTTTCTATGTGGTCCTTGTCGTGGCTAGACAAAGAGGGTCTGTTTGTAGCTAGATTGGACCAGAGAATTAGAATTGGAGAACTGGGTCGAGATCTGGGCAGTCGGAAGCCAAAGGTGATTGAACAAGAAATGGCAAGAAGAGTTCACAGTGATTTAATGTGATAGTTCCTGTGATAAATCCGTTGCCAGGAAACGGACAGTGTGTGTTAGTGGTTTGTGAAGTGGGTACATTAGCGATAGCGCTGTGACTGTGAAAAATGAGACTTAAAAGAAGTGTTAAATAATTTAATCATCCAATCCAGGACTCATTATTAGTCACGGAATCCCTGACACGTGACAGTATAACAACCACAAAAGCCATGAAAGCAGCAGCATATATCCGTCCTTTTACAGCACAAGCAGTTTTTCAACAATAGGTCTATGCAGGTTTGGTGTCGGAGGAGATGTTTCTTTCAGAAAATAAAATAAAATTAAAAATGTTGGATTTGAGGTTCTCAAGGCAGTGACTATGAAGAGTTCTACCTCCTAGGATGAAATGGCTGCCTGCTTCATGCTTGTTTCTCGCTTTGCTCACCCTTCGATCCTGAATGTAGGACGTGATACATTCCTCTGAAACGTCGGTTGACTTCCACTGACTATATGATGTTAATCTCGGGAAGTAGAACGCTTTAGAATAAACAGATATACAAAAGAGGAAATTATGTGAAAACAGCAAGATATCGCAGAAAGTAAAAATGATATCTGTCCACGACATGTCGGAGCGACGGAGCATGTGAAGCAACATTTAAAATTTTCGACTAAGTGAATAAACTATGAACTGCTTTCAACGCTATCTTATATATGAAAATTATAACCCAGTGTTAGATATTACAGGGAGATAATTACGGTCTACAAAAGTGGTACAACTCCATAGGACGTAAGCCCGCAGACCTTTCGAAGAATGAGGATAAACTACTTGGGCTCACAAGAACAGAAACACTAATATAATGTGACATGACGCCTGAAATCCGGAATAGTGGTGGCAAAAGAGACGTCCATTACCAGACAACTGCTCGTGAACACGTTTCCGCTGCAACGCCAACAATTGAGAGACAATTTTCTGTTGGGGCCGTCCCGAGGCTATATAACGAGGATTACAGGCCAGCTAGAATGAGAATTGAGTCTCTTGAGTTAGCAGTCACAGCAGAGAATTGGACTGAGGGCTCCGGAGTTGGCAGTTGGCAGATGATGGAGGAATAGAAAGAGTTCAGTTGTGAGCTGAAAGTCCGGCAGTGAAGAGAAGACTTTACATGTGCTGTAGTACAGTGATATCTGGAGTGTGTAATTCAGTGAGACTGTTACAGTTACTGTGTTAAAATCCGTTGCCAGGAAACGGACTATAGACTGTAACAGACTGAGGGCACGAGTGCTTGCAGCAGTAAACTGTAAAGCGTGTAGATCAGCAGTAGCGCTGTAATGGCCTTTAGTTCCAAGTCGTGTGTATATGGTGCCAATAAACCCAATAATCCAATTCATACCACGTCTAATAATCACAACCCTTAAAACGTGACAATAATTTAACATAAGGGAATGACATTTTTATGAGGCGTCGAAAGACGTAGACCCCAATTTTAAACAAACTTTTAACCGAATATATATACAGGGTGTTTCACGACTTTAGGACATAACTGCAGGAGGTGATTTCCTAGGTCTTTGTGATCAAAAAAGTTCATATAAACATGTGTCCGATTTTGGACGGTTACGGAGTTATGGCCGTTTTTTTTATTCCCATACACGCCCTCGTATGAACCGCGTCTGTCAGCTGGCAGGTCGCTATGTTTAGCCAGCTACAGACAGAGCGTTCTCGTTATCTCGACACTTGAGAGCTACGTAAGGCGGGGTGGGTTGGTATGTCCGGCGCGGTTTACAACCGAGCGGCAGCCTGTGTTGCGGCCGGCGGTGACATTTTCAAAAATCAGCTTTAAGCGGCAATCCATTCAAATGAAAGGTAATTTCATGAAGTTAACTTTACATTCATACTTTAAATGTATCATGTATTATGCTGGTTTATTATTTTGTTCCGTTTATTGTCAGTAATCGTTACCTTCTATTCTGAGTTTAAAACGGTCATAACTCCGTAACCGTCCAAAATCGGACACATGTTTATATGAACTTTTTTGATCACAAAGACCTAGGAAATCACCTCCTGCAGTTA